CAAAGTTTCAAAGTTTCAAAGTTTCAAAGTTTCAAAGTTTCAAAGTTTCAAAGTTTCAAAGTTTCAAAATTTTACGGAAGTCTTCCTACAACTACAAAATAGAAGAGAGATTTTCCCTTCAAGTGAAATTTGTTCTTCATAGTGAGTGCTTTCATTACGCTTATGTATATTTTGTTCAAAGTTTTCATAGTTTTCACGCAATATTGCATGCAATTTTAAATGTACTGAGATGCAAATGTAATGAGATGATTGTACTGAGATGTAAATTTTGAATGTAATGAGATGATACAGTGTTCTGTTATTTTGTTTTTACATTGTTTTGTTTTTTATTTTGTTCTCTCGCGTCGTTAATATGTACATTAGCGTCAATTTGTCCACATTATTATATTTATGAACACATGTGATTTAAATAATGTCACTAAGTTCCTCGGAAACTCGTTTTCTGGGGAAACTAGCTCAAAATTTCGCAGTTTCAAAAACTCTCAAATGCCATTTTCTCAAAAACAGCCTAAACCTTTTTCTTCAAACTTTTCGAATGAATTGCATTCTTTAATGTGACGTAACGGCCATTTTGGTTTTCTTTTGTTTTTTACAAATTACACAAAAGTAATTTTTTGAAATACCGTTCACGTCATTTATATTCACACTTTTACAATATTATATACACACTATACACTATTAGCCATTTATATTCACGCCATTTATATTCATAGACATTTGTAAACATCATTGTTTTTGTGAGTAAAAGTGCTTTAAATGACTCCATATGGAGTTTTCTTAAAACTCAAAAATATTCTGAAATAAATGTTCAAATTTAGAATTTACAGTAGCACTAAAATGCCATCTTTTTAAAAACGGCTCTAAAGTTTTCGAAGAAAACCGCCATTTAGGATGCGGGTTTACTGTTCTTTAATATTCTGAAAATAATATTTCCGTTCTATCGGGAAACCAAAAACATTGATTTAAATGTGCTTTGGGTGGCAATACGAAGGCAAGAGTATTTAGTAAGTTCAAATAGGCAGACGAAATCAAAGGAAATTGCTAACTAATACAGAAAATCAGTGCCATTCTGTAGCACCACTAGTTTTAAATATGCTGGAAAGAAAGTAAAAAATCGTGTTAAGAATATTTAAAATGAAACTGTTTTTTGTATACCTTGCTGAACTCCACGTTGGTCTCTTCTAAAAGCAGCGAAGAGGTGTCGTGGGAACGGATGGACAGGGCCAAGAAGCGGAAAGCGAAGGCGGGTCGTGGCGTGAAGCTGGTCGAGGAATATGCGTGGAGAGGAGGATGTGGCGAGGAGGGTGTGCCACCTAGATGGTGTTGGTGTAACGGTGGAGGTTCAGCGTGAAGGAGATGGGGTTTGGTGGGGTGTGTGACAAGTAAGGCAAGCAACAACAAAATTTAATAAACAACAATGGAGACATTTTTTAAAGAAAACGCTATAGGGACTTCTTGTGAAGTACCCCCCTCCCAATTAAAATAATGGTTTTAAATTCAAGAGACTGTGACATAAGCCAGATTGATAGAGAAAAGTCAATTTTGGAGCAGTTAGGCTGAACGGTTCAGCTGCACGAACCACGATGCACGATTAACACACGATTATCCTAAGTAATTTTTCCAGAATCAGCTTTTCAGCTGTATCCCTCATTACGACAAGGTTGTTACGCCTTGAAGTGTGAATTATGAGGTGATAGGATAATGATCCTATCTCTGCCCTCTCACACATTTAGTTGCAGATTCTGCACGTCTCTAAGCAGGTGCGGTAACATCGAGAATCGCGCCGGACCAGCAAAAACATAATAGAATGTTCAAAGATATCTCATCCTGTAGATAATGGTGTGGGAAACATTTCATTCAAGCTTTTAGACTCAAAATTTAGTTTAATACCTAGAACGCTCCGTATAGGAATTATTTAAAGGTATAAATTAAAAAAATCCTGCCGGATGGGTTTCGTTGCGGGTTGCATTTGATATGAATATTTGGTTTTTTCTTCGGCGCCATCTAGTGAACTATTTTAATAGTTATTTTGCTATTCGGGGTGGAGGTTAATGTAACAAAGGATAGTTAAAATTGGTTTATCCGTTCTTGAATTATAAATGCTGTAAGTTACCCGACTGTGATTTAGATTTATGTAGTAAAAAATGTTTCAACTAGTATATTTATAGGTTAGGTATTCACGTGGAGAACATGAAAATTATTATAATTATTACGCAATTAAAAAAATAATGAATGCTTGTGGTATTCTGTATAAATGTATTAAATAAACGTTCCACCAAAAATTCTTGCAAAGTCTCAGAGAAATATGCACATTACAAATGTAAACACAATACACAAATAAATACACACAAAGCAACGCAATACAGGCACACAGCACAGCAGAGAGGCGCTGGGATCACTGTAGTCACGTGAATTCAGCGCGCTCGGGCCTTCTTTCTCGTTGGCCTCGTCCAAAACACACAAACAGCTGGGACACAGCACACACGATTAATTACGTTTAAATTCGCACAAACTCGGAGCGCGCCAACACATGTAAACCGACAACCAGCAACTACAAACGTGGCGTCACTAGCCCCGACTCGATTGGTCACGTGATATTTTCGTTTCCATCTGCGTTCAGAATTCATCACGTACATGGATTAGGGTATAGAGATCCCATAATTTAAGAAAAGGTTTACAGAATATATTTCTCCCGACAGTAAGTCACACAGTTTTTAGCTGTTTTGACATGAAATAAATAAAAAAATAAACTCGCAGTAATTCCATGTCCATCTCCGACATCCAGAAGAATTCAAAAGAATTCCACAATGACATCCCGTCAAGCACGGGAAATTCAAATATGTAATTTTAAAAAATTGTCAAATTACGCTTAAACACTAATATTTTTAAGCAATTGAAATAATCTTAAAAAAAAACTGATTTTTTAGAACACATTTCTTGTAACAAATCGTATCTATCATCAATATAGTACTTTTTCATGTTCATTGTTTGCTTGCATTTTTTGAAAATTTAAAGTGCACCGAAAATAGAATAAGTACATTTTTTATCTGCCTTCAAAAAGATTTTTAAAAAAATTTGGAGCCGTTTTTTAGAAAATAGTTGCTTGAAATGTTTTTAAGATTGCCTTTGTTTCACGTAAAATTACGCAATGAATACTCGTACTTTCAAAAAATTGAACTTGACCTTATTTGGAGATTGTTTTTGATGAACACATTTCATTAAGGATACAAACTGTACGAGTGTTAGGTAACACGAGAGCTCGAATTGGCAATGGGCAGGAAGCATTTTCAGTTTTCAACCGGTAGAATTGAGAGTGAATATTGGAAAAAGCAAAAACTCAGTCTTCTATAACAATGGTCAGGAATTGTTGAAATTATGCAAAAAGATTTTACTTCTAAATCTTAAATGACAACCATTACCAGGATACAGAAAGTGATCTCACGTTTTTTAGTGGGAATGAAGGGAGCGCAATACGAATGCTCCCCTGCCTCGTGAGAGTACAAAGTGTGTAATAGATTTTGTGGTTGAATTACGGGCCAAATCCCGCGTGCGTTCATTTAGCAGTAAATTCTATTGAAATGCAAATGGAAGTGGCGCGGGTGGAACCAACGTATTTGAAAGTAGCAAGACAAAACTTTGTGTGGAAGGAGGAAAGGCGATAGAAATTTGAAGAGTCTTTTCTTAATTCGACAGGGGGAACGCGATATGCGCTGTCGCCGGGGCAGGGAGCAAAGAATTTAGAAAGGCAGAAAGTTTTGATAAAAACCACTTCTTCAGTATCAGGGGACCCCCAAAACGTGTACTTCCTTTGAACTCTCGAAATCTAGTCTCCGCATAAGTACGTAACGTTTCCTATACTACGTAGATTACTCCTTATATCCGTACGTATACGGGAAAGTAAAAAATCATTATCGTTAATATTTTAGCTGTAGAAAGACACCGAAAAGATATTGCATATATCCAATTTTTGAAAAATCAGTGGTTAAACGAGACCTATAGCATTCTTTTGTGCGCCCTTTACGCAATCGGAAAACCAAATTTAATCAAAATATGTGAAACATTTTTAAAAAAATTTGATAATGCCCAAAGGATTTTTTGTAAAGTTCCCCCAAAATTAAAATGTTGGTTTGTAATTAAAGGCGCCGCGACCTGGTCGCGGTCAATTCGAAAATTCAGTTTTGGAGATAACAGCTGAATGGTTTAGACACTTAGGACATGGATTTTGATTGTACAACGTATTAGAAGAAGTTATGTACAATATACGGGGGCAAGATTTATCCACTTTCTCTTTACCAGCGCTCCGTAAAAAGAGTTTTCCTGCCATAATTTCACGTTTGTTTCCCCGCAGAATTACAATATTTTCTCTATACTGTGTAAGCACTAATGAGACAGAAATATACTGCGAAAGAAGAGAAAGTAAACAAATGTAGGCAGAAACTGTTTTTTTATAAATTGATTTTTTAAATTCATAATTTTAACGTTGTCGCAAACTTATGTTATGTAGATAATGAATTATATTGCTCCAATGCCTTTCTTTAAATTGTGTACTTGAATAGTGTAAAGAATTTTCGAAATTGCGAAAGTTAGAAATAATGTGGCATAATATGTGTCGTAGCTGTACTAATTCTTGTGTGAATTTTAATGCGGTATTGTTGACATTAAAATGACATGAAATTAAATGAAGAAATAATGAAACATTAGGTTGAAGGAGATGACTCCCATTATTTTATCTTCTAATTCTGTTTGAAACTCGTTGTGTAAAAATTCTACTTCTCGCGATGTTTAAGGTAGGGGCTCAGATTATTTTTTTAATACTCTCATAATTCAAATAACCGTTTTGTTATATAACAATTTGTCTCATTGGTGTAGAAGTTGGCGTGGGTGTAACCCTCATGATGAAGTAGGACCGCTGCTCATGGATTACACCGAGCAGCGCGAGTGCTCAGGAGCCTTCGTGAAAAAGGCGTTTGCAGAAATCTCGGTGCCAATCGCTTAGTGACATTCAAAGGTTTGAAGACTCTCGTGCTTATATGTGGGAACTACGGTTTAAATACCTAGAGAGGTGGTTCAGTGAATCAAGTGTTCGAGTCCTGACAGTGGCAAGATTTTCGACACTAGCTTGTCAGTTACGTCGAATTCAGTCGCTGTCTGGAGGACAATTCTAAAGGCCGGCTTCTCTGATAGGTACATCTTTTGGGATTCTTCGATCAACACCAGCCAAATGCCGGAGCAGTACCGTAACAAATGGGCCACGGACCACGTTCCTCCTCCTTGTCCTATCCGCATCCCTTACACACACACGAACATGACCTACACAACCGCCATGCCGGAAGACTGGTCGGGAGCTTAGACGACTGGGGGGTACCCCGATGGTGGGAGATACTTGGTTGATCCCCGCTAGCCGACGGTAGGTCGGCACCGAATCTCGGCATCCAGCGTGTGAAAATCGCCGCCACCTCCCGAGGTCAAACATGCACTACACTTACCGGAACCACAACCAACCAAGCAACCAACCAAACCCATCGGTTTGAATTCATGAGAAGGTAATACGGCCGCATGCTGCTGCACGGGCGGTCGCCCGGGAGTTAAATCCGGTTACTTTTGAGGCAAGCGCCGCGCCGCGCCGCGCCGCGCCGAGCCTCGCCGCCCCGATGGGTTACGAGCGGGCTGTGTGTGCGGACGTGGGCGGGCTCCATATGTCGGGCGACGCCTCATATCGCAGCGGGGGCGTGCGAGCCATCGCCTCCAGAAGGCGCGACGCGATTTACGACCTCTGCGTTTCCTCCCCCCCCCCCCTGGCGTCTCGGCCGCACAGCGGATCCCTCGCGGCCGCGTACGACGCCGCGACACAATCACCTGCCCTCTCCCTCGGAAAGAAACACAGTGGAACCGAATACTATGGAGAGAGCACTCAGGACACTCGACCATCTAACGGGAGTCACTTGAAGCTAGCGACCATAATGGACCGACGTGTATCAACCGTTGTGATATCAGGTACGAAGGGTGTAAGTGAAAAAGATTTTTAGTTACGACAATTAGGGTACAGCAGTTTTCGCAGTGCGATTCAAATGTTATTGTATATGTATTAAAACTTGAATTAGACGCCGATTCGGTGACGTCACTACGTTCGCTAGTGAGCAGTTGTTTCCCATTAAAAGTAGAAGGAAAGTTAAATGGTCCTGTATTGTCTATATAGTATTTACCATCACAATTACCTACGTAGCTAATAGTGCAATGAACGTTTCATTTCGACAATTTGGCTTTCAATAATTAGTTTTTCAGTTCTACAGTAATTATAAATTCCTTTTTTACACTACAAATAAGCATTTTATATATTTTGTTTATTCTTACCTCCATCCCGAAGTTTGTTCGAATTATCAGAATTTTCAAATTTGCTTTTTTTTCTGTATTACCTTTTCAACCGGTCTTGAACCTTATTGTGAGTATTGAGCACAATACAAGGATTCAATGACAGCTGTCATTTTTGTAAATTTTCAAAAATTAAAAAAATATTTTTTTTTAAGAAAGTCATATTTTGTTTCATTTAGAGGTTTCCATCGTGTGGCTGAAGTGTTAGTAGGTTAGAAGTTACAATACGTAACAATAATACGAGCACGTATGTGCTGTTGTAGCTCCATTAATTTGCAACGTACAGACACCTACAGTAAAACTTCTCTAAAGTAGATATTTTTAATTATTTGGGAAAATAATTGACGACGCATGTATAATCCAAAATAAAGCTAAAGTAAGTAGTAGCCGATTAATTTTAACATAAGCCAGACTATGGAGAAAATGTATCAATGAATGATTATTACATTGACCGTCACATGTTTGCATTACCCTTCGTACTCTGGACAAAGTGAGGTGATTATGAGACGAGTTGTGTGTTCCCAATAAGTAGTTTGGCATATGAATGCGTTTGAATTTATGGGAAGCACAGACTCAACAATTTCTGGGACTATTTTATTTGTGTATTAATTGCAATCAACAGCCATTAACAACTGTCATTGTTGTCGATCACCAGACAGCACAAAATCGTTTGCTATTTCTTTTCTTTCGCAACTCTCTCCAGTTGCATTGTCTTTTTACGTGATTACATTGTTGAAGTGCTTTTTGAACTTGACTATATATAACTTTGATTAGAAAATGAAGGTGGCAGTAAATTTTAAAGCAGAATATACCTCAATATTTGCGTGTTATGTATCTCATAATATCCATCTTTCGATATGTTTCATCATATTTAAAATATCGATTTTCGTCGATGTTTTCCTCGACTTACAAAACGTTTTGTTGATGTCCGGAAGTATCAATGTTTTGCTAAAATTTGCCATCCCTAGGAGTGATGTTTCGCTCGCTGTGGGTCGGAGGCCGATCGCTTCTGCCCCTGGGCTTCAGATGTCACCGCTGCGAGGCCCACGCCCGCCCTCTACCCCCGGCTGTAAAAGGAGCAGCGAGATCCATGAGGGA